GGAGCACTGTTTTTTCTGTGATGTTTGGCTGGAGTAGAGCAGGTACAGTGTGAAAGCTTTCTGCCTTTTTTGGCTGCTCCTTTCCCAGTCCTTTGGCTATTGAGATAAGGTTTTTGTTGGGACTTTCTTCAGGACTGCCAGATCCTTCAGCTCCAAGTCTGGGATGCACGAGACCAAAAGAAAAGCCCAGGGAACTCAGCACCATGTTGTTCCTCATTTCCTGTGGTCCCTGGCTGGCCTTTCTGCATCGCTCCACCTTTCAGGGTTTTCTAATGTTTATTTTATATACAACGTCCTACGTCTTGAGTTGTATGCATGAGAGGAATAGGGAAAAATATATCTACACCATCTTTCTGGAGGCATAAGTCTAACCAGTCCATTTTTGAGTAATCAGTGAATTGTCAAGGCAATCAATTGGATATTTGTTTCCTTTTTTCATATCTACATGTTCTGAACTTTCTAAAGTAGACACAATATTGCAATAAGGATATATACTTTATGTTTAAGTTGTTTAAATTCAAAACCATATTCCTTAGGCTGTACTTTACATCCTTGTGACTATTTCTTGCCTACCAATTTGTACTTCTTAATCCCTTCATCTTTTTCACCCAATCCCCCTGAACCCGCTCCTCTCTGGCAACCATCAGTATGTTTTCTGTACCTAGGAGTCTGTTTCTATTTTGTTTATGCATTCATTTTGTTCTTTAAATTCCACATATAAGTGAAATCATATGGTGCTTGTCTTTCTTCGACTGACTTATTGCACTTTACATATTATCCTCTGAGTTCATCTATGCCATTGCCAATGTGATCCTTTTGTATGGCCAAGTAATATTCCACGGTATATATGGACCAGAGCTTTTTTTATCCACTCATCTATTGATGGGCACTTGGGTTGCTTCCAGATCTTGGCTGTTTTAAATAACACTGCAGAGAGACAGATTTTGAGGTAGAGTTTTGTGAGAAGGATGTTTATTAAGGAGTGCCCTTGGGACCGGCACCTGTGGAGGGGAGGGAGGAAAGCAGGGGTGCACAGAAGATGAAGTCAAGCTGAGAGGCGGGCCCCACAGCGATTTCTCAAACTCTAGTGGCCCTTGCTGGTTGGTGTTGGGAGAAGATGACCAGACCTTCACGGTTCACAGCAATCAGTTCTTGTTGTGCGTTCTGGGAAGAGCTTTACCTTGGGTGAGGGAGTTGTCTGAAGCTAAGGCAGTGTCCAAACTCACTCCCAGCGGCCTGGGCCACAAGTCCTTCACTGAAGGAATGCCCACCCCACATGGACATTTCAAGACATCCCCTCCAATCTCCTTATTTTATGGATCCTGTGGCAAAAGATAGGAAGTGATGTAAGGTCACATATTAACAACCCCTTCCCCAAATATTTCTCTTCACAGCAACCACAGTGCCCTTTACAAAGTGCAGATTTCATCAATTCACTCCCCTATTTAAAACATTTCGGTGGCTTTTCAGTACTCTAAGGTCGGACATCAAAATCCTTCGCGTGGACCTCAGAGCCTTGCCTGGCCTGTCCCCTGCAGTGTTCTCCAGCGTCTCTCCCATCACGCTTGCCCTCCAGCCCTGACACTGCCTTCAGTATTTTGAGGCACTTTGCCTCTCCCCACCGCAGTAAATCTTTCTTCTGTCTGAAAGGCTCCACCCGATCACAGCAACTCCACGAATTATCTTATTTTGCTGTTGTAAAAAGATCCCTTTCTCATCTTTTGTACTTAGAGGTGTGTGTGCTAGGGTTTAAGTTTGGGAGACTGGTTAGTAATCAGCCAACCGTCTCCTCCTTACACTTGCTGCAGCAGAATTGCTACCATGATAGTGCGTATTGCTGTCAAAAATATTGGCTTTATCTGATGGGGTGTATTGACGTGATGCCTGAATTGATATCTCCCCCCAGAGGAAGAGGCCTGTTGCTTTGAAATCTTGTCTTGATGTACTGTCAAGATAGAAAAGGAAATACAGAGAGAGTGCCTGGCAGAGCTCGCTGTGGTGGGCAAGTCCCCACCTCCACTTGACTTTGGTGGCATTTGTGTCAATTGTGGGTCTCCTCCGCTAACAACACCCTGCATGGTGGACAAACTAGGTTTATGTTAAAGCAGTGTTTTGGGGTGTGGGAGTGGAAATGCATAAAACAAGACTAAAAGAAGGACAAAAGATAAAGCCACAGTCTACAGAATCATGAGATTAAGCCATTTGTAACTAGGCTGTATTGGCCTCTGGCGCAGCATAAATTTGATGGCTTTGGAAGGAGTTCCCCTTTCTCTCTCTCCTGTACCCCATAACCTCTTGCGTCCCCAGGAGGCTTCCCCAGGGCCCCTCTCGGGTCTCTGAGAGCATGCTTCTTTCTCTGCTTCTACCTGTATTCACTGCTTCAAGGAGTCAACTCCAAGGACACCTTGATCCCAGGCATCTATTGGTCTTTGTATATAAGAAACCATAAGGTGGGATTTTCCAGCCGCCCATCAAAGCAACTGAGAAGAGTTTCCACTGTTATCCCTAAGCCACCACTCCTCCCAGGGCATCTCGTTTCTCACCTCCTCCACCTCTGCCACACGCATTCGGTCTCCGGAGAAAGTCCCTAAGTCTTACTGGAAACCCACCTTCTGCCCCAGTAGACACTCCTGTCCCAGAGGGCAATGATGCAAGGCTGGGCCGATGGCTCCAGGCTCAACACAAACACCCACGGTCCTCGCAATCATCTTTCTCAATTCAACTTTTATCCTTTATTGTTAAAACGACTTAATGATTTTTGTAGACTCATGAAATTTATTTACAACTTTTTAAAACTGAAAAGACAGTGTAATTTCTTTTTTTCAAACAGACATTTTTAAAGTGTATCACCTCATTTCTAAGGTAGTGTGATTTTTTATTTTTGGAATTACCTTCTACATGCACATATAACTTGCAGAATTCATTAGTACACAGAATTTTGGATTTTTCTACAAGATCTCTAACCCTTTTCCATGTTCCTGGATTCTGAGTATTTCTGTCACTTGGAATTTTTATTTTATATTTATTGAAAGATATCTTTCAAACTTAGAAATTTTGTCATCCACCTATCTTGCACAAAGGAAAACATAAGTGAAATAAATTGGTTGGTATTTCTAAGGCAGTGACTGCCGCCTGGCTGACAGCAATTTAAAACCATGCTGATTTCAGAAATGTTAAAATTTAAAAAGGTGCAACAATAAATTACAGTGGACAGGTCCTTTTGCGTAGTAGAAAAATCCCCACTTCGTTGAAGCTCTTTGTATGTACCTTTCAGATCATCCGTCCCTCTCTTTTACCCTGTAGATATACACTATTCCAAATTCTGTGTTTATCATGTCCTTGCTTTTCTCTAAAGCTTTAGCAAATACTTACCCCCAAACATATGCGTTGACCTTGTTTCTGAACTGTTCTACAAATGGAACTCCATCGCATGTATTTTTCTGACTTGCTTTTATCACTCAACATTTACTTTTGTATCACATGCACTGTAGGCATATATCACCATTGATCAGTTCTTTTGTTTGATGAACATTTGGGGTTTTGCTATTACAAATTGTTTTATTATAAAAAACACACACAAAACTCTCAGTTGTCTCATAGCATCTGAGAGTTTCTCCACAGTACATACTGAAGAGAAAGGAGAATTGTTGCGATTAGATCCGAGGTGGGAAAGCCTTTTCTGGAAAGTGCTTGATAGTAAATACCTTAGACTTTGCAAACAATACAGTCACCGTTGCAACTAGTCGAATCTGTTGTTTCAATGTGAAAGTATATAAATGAGTGGCTGTGACTATGGTTCTCGCAATCATCTTTCTCAATTCAACTTTTATCATTTATTGTTAAAACGACTTAATGATTTTTGTAGACTCGTGAAATTTATTTACAAGTTTTTAAAACTGAAAAGACAGTGTGATTTCTTTTTTTACACTGGGAGAACCATAGACAGTATATAAATGTGTGGCTGTGGCTATGTTCCAATAAAACTTTATTTATAAAAAATGGGCAGTTAGCAAGATTTGGCCCTCAGGCTACCAATTTTCCTGAGCTAGATAATAAACTTTTAGTATTCTGATTGCCTACACCCTGTTCTAGCCCCCCCCCTTTTTATTCCATGAGGAGATGCGAAGTCCTGTCTTCACTTAGTCTATGGGCTGGACTGAATGTCTGTGTTCAGGGACCTTCAGGGAGAAGGGAAAGAAAGGCATGGGGACTCGGTGGCGGTGGTCCTTCTCAGTCTACAGTCTGTCACTTTCGGCCACAGTCTTGGGGAAACCAAAGGCAGAAGGGGGTTGAGGCAAGGCAGGACACTCATATTGGGCATGGGTAGGAGGTGGGGTTCTGCATGACTGGAGGCTGGGGTCTCAGGCTTTAGCACAGTTTACATCACAGTCGCCACTGTGAAGTCACTACCAGGATAGGGGACATAAAAAGTCAAACAAAAGATGCATTTCATTTGGAGTTGTATTGTTTCCTTTATTAAAGAATGCTGGAATTGTCTCTCTAGGGATACTTTCGTGAGGCTGGGTCTCCACTGCAGCTTCCTGCCCTGGCTCCTACTTAAACGGATTTGGTTTCAATGAAGATCGTCTCCATCACCTCCGATGTCACGGTGCCGCAGATCTCCACGTCCTGGCCGTCCTGGGCTTGCTCTATCTTGGCCTCCAGGTTGCGTTTCCCTACCTTCTTCGCCTTGAAGTCCATCTCCCTGTCGTGGGACGAGACCTCCGTTTTTGAACCGCGAGTGACTCTGAAGCTCCTGAAGAAAGAGCCAATCTTACTGGATTTCTTGCTTAAAGTAGCCGAGCTGGTGGACCTGCTCTTCCCGGGTTTGTGAGCCACCCGCGACTCCTTGACGGCGGAGCTGTGGCTCGAGGTCTTGTGAGCGCCGTGGCCTCTGGCCTTCCCGGCGCTCGGCCCTTTTTCCTTCTTGTCATCTCTTGCGCCTTTATGGCCAGATGACGACCGGTGGGAGGATGATTTCCGGATCAGTCTGTTGCCTCCGGTCCTGCGGCGATGGGAGCCTTTCCTAGGAGCAATTCTTTCCTGCTTTTCTCTCTTTTCTTTCTTTTCCCTCCGAGCTTCGGCTCTGGGCTGGAGGACCTTCTGGCTTACTTCCCGCTCGCTCACGTAGTTTTCACTCTTCAGGGTTCTGATGAGAGGGCCCGCCCCTGGGCCTTCGGCCGTCCCTGCGGCAGGAGCGTTGGTTGTCACCGTACCTGCAAACGAGACGCTGGTGCTGCTCTCCGGGGAGACGTTGGTAGGCCCCGCCGGTGCCATGGAATTACTTAGCGAGCTGGAGCTGGCGACGCCCACCAAGACCACGTTCGTGCCCTCCGAGGACAAGTTGGTAGCACCTGCCATGGCCTTGCTGGGTCCCCTCCCTCCTGGGCCCTGGGCGGCGGCCCCGGCCAGGGTCGAGCCTGCCTGGCCCTCGCCCGCGTTCTTGGTTGCCGCTATGCTCAAGGCGCCCGCTGTCGGGCTTGTCCTCACTCCCGCTGCTGCCATGCTGGCTGTAGGACTTGTCACCGTTCCTGCTACTGCCAGGCCTGCGGCTGCCCCCTTTGCTGCACTTTCGGGAGACCCTGGAGTTTTCTTCGCGAAAGTTGAACCGGGCATTCCCTCTCCCCCAGCGTAACCAGAAGAAGTGGCTCTGGACACGTCACCAAGATTGCAAAACCTCGCCTCATTTTGCTCTCCAGGGAGATCCGCGGTCTGTGCCAAGGGGAGGAGAAACGGGTGAGAAAGAGATGACACAGTGAGACCACAGAGCAGCTCCAGGGCTTCTAATTAGAACCACCTTTGAGATCATTCATTCTAAGCTCCCGTGGGATGCAACATCCTATTTACAGGACCTCCGTCAGTCACTCAGGTTTGCATGAACGATCCCATGCCAGGGGAAGCACTGATACAATTCCCCATCCTCGTAGTTTTATTTTGCACACTTGTGCTTATTTCTCTGCAGGACAGATTCTTTCAAGTGGGATTGCTGGGTCAAGGGTTTCACACATTTATTTTTTAATTCTCACCTGAGGATATTTTTTCTGGGGCTGGGATCAAGCCTACAACCGAGGTACATGCCCTTGGCTGGAATCGAACCCAGGACCCTTCAGTCCGGAGGCCGACACTCTAACCACTGAGCCAAACCGGCCAGGGCGGGTTTCACACCTTTTACATTTCAGTGAAATGTAAGAGAAATTGTGCATGTGCGCACACACACACGCAGGCTGTGCTGATTTTAATCAGCAGTGGTAGGCACAGGGAGTCAGAGGAAGGAAGAGGCCACCTGGGTTGGGGTAAGTGTTCAGGAAGGGATGGGGCAGTCAGAATGCTGTAGAAGGGATTACAACCCTGGGCCTGACCCCCGAGCAGCTGATACCTAAGGTCTCTCGGAAATTCGGCCTTGTGGGACAATTTGGAGAAGCACTTGGAGTCTCCCCATCATAACTCTTTAAAAAATAGAATGCGTTTCCCAAGTGAGCTTCAGAGAATACCAAAGGCTCTGTAGGACCAGTTACGAGCTGCTGGCCCAGAGCACCCTGGCCCGTTCTTTCGAATCCCTGTGGATGCTCACCAGTAAGCTCCTGTCATCCTCTATGAGGGCCGCGTCCCCGGTTTGCTGCGTCCTGGTGCTGCTGCAGCTGTCCGCTGGTGGTCTCAGGAGATAGACAAGTTTTTCCCAGTAGCAAAATAGGTCTTCTTGGGTGTCTGAAGAAGGGCACAGCTGCAGATAAAAAGTACGACCGGTGGCAAGCTTCAGGCGCAGCTGCTGTTTCTCGTGATCGTGGATGGAGATCTTGACAAACTTCAAGGGCAGTAGCCTGGTGAGCTCGAGGTTCTTTGTGGGCTTGCGACTTCTCCCCTTGGTAGGCCGGGCATGTCTGGCATGCTCGTCGCAGACTCTAGTTGGTCGGGCCAGCAGCATGACGTCGGGTAGTGGGAGGATGGGGCTGGTGGATGCGATGCCCACAGTCACCATTCGGACGCGGTTGTGTACATCAATCATCTCTCCTTTTTTGCTAATCTGGATAAAGTCACTCTCAAACATCGGTGCATACTTGAAAATCTCATACTCTCCTCCCTTGTATAGTTGTCTTTGCAGGTTCCCCATGCAGGTATTGAACACGCCCATTGAACGGTAGCTGTGGGCCGTGTAGTAAGGTAACAAACATTCACTGCTCATGGTTCTCTAAATTTAAGACAGCTCCGCTAGCCATAAAACCGAGTCTCCGAGGGAGAGGGAGTGAAGTCCACTGCCCATCTCCCTGCAGGGTTCTGCCTAAATCTCCTTGCACCACTGCATTTACCCTTACAGTCCTTTGTGACCTGTCACTATTACACACCCCTTTGTCCAGCCTCCAAGCAGCCACCCCCTTGGTGAAGGGTCACCAAGCCTCCCCCCAAACAAACCACCGCCTCCCAGGGCGACAGGCTGACCCTGCCAGGGTGTAGGTGGGGGTAGGTTGGATATTCTTTCTAATCAAAATGCAGGGGTGCATGATTGATGAAATCATCCCGCTTTTGTAAATATCCAGGTTGTTTCCAGTTTTGTTGTTGTTGTTACAGATATCCCTGCAATGGTCATCTTCCTGCAAATATATCTTTTGCTTTTGCTGGGGATAAAATCATGGAAGTGTGTTGTGTGCTGGCAACTGTTGCTCTCCATGTGCCCCATGAGCGGCGCAATGCTGGCAGGCACTCAGAAGGTGAATGAAGTTGTTGAATGAGTGGTCCAAAGGGGCTTCTGCTACCTATCAGAGCTAGAGTCCCATTTGTACCGTGGTTCCCAGGGTGTGGAGACTTCCTCACCCATTTCCTCATTTGAAGGAGGCTAATTTTTAAAACCATAATTTTGTGGTTAGGGACCAAAGCTCAGAATTACCTTGCTCATGGTCAGAATGCAGAGCTGGATTCTATCCCAGGACTCAGGTCAGGTATTTTTCTTTGCCTCCAGCTGCATGGCTCACCATTAGGTTCTCACTTTTCTTTAAATATAGAATTGTTTGCAGTTAGCCATATGCGTGGGGACTTACTGGGAACCGCAGGAACTCAGAGAGGTCTTGAATCACCATAGGATTTCCCACACTGGCATGCCTGCTGTTTCACTCTTGATGTCTACCAGATAAACCACTGATGTTTGGTTTCTCTGAAAAGCTCTTCAGAGAAATTATGGCAAAGACGTCTTTCTGGAGCTGTTTTTTTTTTTTTTACTTTGCACAAGGTGATAAATCCAAAATTCCCCTCCCTCAGTTAGAAAACTACCTCTGAAATGAAAGACAGCCCCCAAACTCAGTGATTACTCTGTAAAGGTCTTGAAATAAACTCCAACCCTCAAATGCTCTTTTCTATATCCCTAGAGCCTACTGCAGTACCAAGTATGCTGCACCTTTTCAATAAATATGAACTTGCTTATGCCCATTGAGATTCATTCTTTCACTTGTTTATTCAACAAAATGTATTGAGCAAGTACTATTTTCAGGACCAGCCAGAAAAATGGAAATGCAAAGATAGTCTCTACCTCTGAGGCACCAAAATGCTTTTACTAAAGATGTTAAATGACTTCTCCAAAAAAAGAACCAAGTGGCATCTATTCTATTGTAAGGACATAATCACTCAAAGTTAACACTATTAGGTTTAAGAAGAAGAGGTGAGGTTTTTCTGTAATACACTTGCTCATGTATTCTTCTCATAAGTCCATTTCTGATGAACAATTAATAATGAGAGAAACCAATCATATTATGGAGAACTTAGTATAAATAAGGCATGGTGCTGCCCACTTTACATTTAGAAAAATTGTAATGCTCACAGCAGCCCTGTAAAGTGTAGGTACAGCTACTCTCCTTGTTTCATGGGGGGAGAAATCAAGGCCCAGAGAAGTTAAGCAACTTCCTCAAGGCCACAAGAGAACAGAAGCATATGCAAGTCACCAAACTATGGAAATAGTGAAACTACACCAGGCTAGGTCACACAAATAAGACACAAGTATACAAGTGCCATGCAGCATGAATTCATCTATTCATTTAATTAATATTAAGTGATTACTTTATGACAGGCCCTGTCCTTGGCGCTAGGACTACACCAATGGACAGAAAGAGACAAATATCCTTGCTGTCGTGGAACTTGTATCTAGACAATAAATGAGTGAACTATATAGTAGGTCCAAAGCTGATAAGCACCATGGAGAAAGATAAGTGGGGGCATGTGCAGGGGATGGGGAGCTAGAGGTGGCAGTCAAGGAAGGCTCAGTGAGAAGCGACCTTTGAGCAAAGGCCTGAAGGAGTTCAGGGAGGAAGCCATGCACATGCCTGGGGAAGTAGTTTCTCAGTCAAAGGGGATAGAAAGCACCAAGATTTGGAGGTGGGAGCATGCCTGGTGTGTTAGATGAACACCGGGGGGCTACATTGACAAGAGTGAAGTGAGGGAAGGTGGCTGGAGGTGAGGCCAAGAGGCAACTGTGGTGATGACAGGAGAGCAGATCATGAGGTCTTTCGCTTTGCTCAAAATGGGAGATGATGGGACCTATATAGAGAGAGGATCATTTGGGCCACTGTGATGAAAGGAAATTGTGGAGGAACAAGGGGGACAGAAGTAGAGATTGAGTGGCTCCTGCAAGGAATGATGACAGTGAGACGCGTATAGTAGCAGTGAAAGTAGAAGTGATCAGCTACTAGACCTGTTCTGATTGAGGCAACTATTATGGATGCTGATGTTGAATAATTTTTAATTAATATTAGTAAGTAAAAAAAAGCAAGTTGCAAAACAGCATATAGGGTATGCCATATATTTTTTAATAAAAAATTTTAAATTATGTGTGTGTTTGTGTATGTGTATGCGTGAAAGGATGCACTAGAAACTGGTAACAGTAGCAACCTTGGGGCGACGTTTGGCCGAGAGAAATGCTTTCCAAGGCATTCCCTTTTATACTTTTTAGATTTTGTACCACTGCATATATTACACAAAAATAAATAATACTTTTAGTTTATATATTTATAAAAATGGTATGCCAGTAAAATTATATTCTTAGAATATTCATTGATTTAAGCATTGAGATAGAAAATAAATGTAAACAATAACTTTCAAATTTAGCTCTCTCTGGCATCAAATTTTAGAATTTGAGAACCCAAATACAAAATGTTATTCAGAATTAATTTTCTGATTTTTTTCTTTAAGACCTTTCAAAATTTTCTTCTCTTCTCCCAAAGTTTAAAATTCTGACACATCTTTTTTTTTTTAAAAAAAAAGCGGTCAATTTACCAAGATACATTTATTGGTTGCCCACTATGTGCCCATCATTGTGTTGAGAGTATTCAGGTTGTCAAAAGGTAAGTTTCAAATATTTGTAAACCTAACTCTTATACAAATATAGAGTGAAAACACGTCAAAGATTTAATTAATTCATCAATAAGGGAACCAGCAGGATGGTAAAGCTGGCTGAAAAGGGAATTAGAAATATGCATTGGCATTGGAGAAAGAACGTTGGACTAACATTGCCAGGCTAGATTTTTTTTAAAAACTTGTTAAATGTCTACAGGGCAATAAAAGTATAACTTTTGGGATTATCTTTTCTACTACCTACTAAACAAAAATCTATAAGTTATTACAGAATTTCACAGAGTCTAAGGCTTTAATCAATATTAGCTTTCTTGAGGTGCTAAAAATGTTCTAAAACTACACTGTGATAGGTACACAACTCTGTGAACATACTAAAAACCACTGAACTGTATGCTTGTAATGGATAAATTTATGGTATGTGAAATGGATCTCAATAAAGCTGTTAAAAATAATAACAGTACTTCAGTCTCAATTTATTGATCCGATCTCATTGTTACTTTCTTCTCTTACATAATTAAATAATCCTTGGGCAGGCATGTTAAACAAGCTTTAATATGGCATTGGAAGTACATGTTTCCTGCTTTGCAGTTTTTTAATTTACAAGTTTTGGGTCATTTTTTTCCCTACCAAGGAATAGATAGAAGTGTGTATAAGCCATGACTTTCAATCCAGAAAGCTTACAGTCCAGCAGGAGAACACAGAGAAGAGATAGACCAGGGCAAGGCGGGGTTAAATACACGATGGACGAACACTGAACAAGGTGAGTGAATGGTGTGCCTAATAACATTCATCACACTATTTAAACCGACAATAATTGTTCTGTGAGAAGGAAAACTGTCAAACCCACAATTCTGAGGATGGTTTCCTTTGCAATTTAAATTGGCCTAAGATTGAAGAGATGCGGAGTGAAAACACTGTGTAGGATGTACTGAGTCTATGTAGACAGGCAAGACTACAGATGGCCCAAGTCTATGTATTTATCATGGGAAGAAGTTTCAAGTCAATCATTTTTGTTCCTCCATCTATTATTTTGAAAAGCAAGGCAAGCAGACAGCTATAAATAGCCTATTCAATGAATATGCCCCCTGAGAGGGCACTGTGAGTGAGGCAGGATGTGAGGGTGGGGAGATTTCCATACTGTACACAACATGTATGTGCTGGGTAAACCCCCTGGCCCAAAATACAATCCACGGTGCTTTTATGTTGATGCTGCTAAGCTGAGATGGTGATGGCGTAGGATGAGCTGCGGTTAGTCATGGGCACCTAGGACTTCAGGAAGCCGGCCTGATTTCTGCCTTACCTTTGGCTGTCAGAAAGAGACCACAGTCACCTAGACTCTTCCCCTGAGGGCCAATTATGCAAATCACTTTGCTTCTGCCTTGGGTTGAAAAAGAAAATGGGCTGAAAAAGGAAAGAAAGAAAAATAAATGGGCTGGTATACATAAAAGAAGCCAGACAGGTGATCGAAATCATTGTATTTCCCAACTTGCTGATCCAACCAGCGGGGCCTCTCCCCCCCTCCCACTCTCTTTCTGCTCCCTCCTTGTTTCTGTTCTGCTCAGCTCTAGCTAGGCTGACTGGGAGCCCGGACTCCCCTGCTCAGCAGTCTCAGGACTGGTTCCCTCTCCCAGGTTCCGATTTTGCTGTTTCTAAGCCATGCGATGTCCCCCCTCAGTTTATATGTTGATTTCTTTGATGTTGTCCTGAAGAGCTGAAACCAGACAAGTCGGCATTGGTGTTGCCCAGCCCTCCCAGGCCCAGTAAGTGGAGACACACATTGAATCTTGATGGGCGCTTCATTCAGATGGCCAGCGAGCTGAGAAGACGGCCGGTTATGTGCCCCAAAAAGAC